TGAAAAAATGGGGGAAAAATAAGCTTTCACTGCAGGGAATAATGCACACATGAAAACCTAAAATAGCTAGAAGAAGAAGAAGAAGAGATATTGGTTGTCAAGGAAAATTGCATTAAAATGGACAGAAGTGTACTATTGTAAGAGCAGCTGGGCTTGGTACCATGTCTACCGCTTTGTAAATAAATGCACGTACTTTTCCTTTTCTTTCTTTTCTGCAGATTGATTTCTCTCTGCCAGATGACACAGGCAAAGGGCTCACCTTGGCTCTCACCTGAGCTGATAGATGTGGCCAATACGTAATGGCCACCAGGTGGAAAAGGCCATTCAGTGAGTGTTTCCCAGCTGTCCATGTCCAGTGTGGAATCCTTTGAGCTCTTAAATAAATGGCTAGTGGAAAAGGTCTTGTCTTGTTGACCATCCAGGAATGCAAACTGTGTGTTACCCCTTTAGAGCCACTGTGACAAAATAGCTAGAGACAGTAGGTCTGGGAACACACACATCCCAGTCTTGACTCAGTGGCAAACCTCGGACCAGTCAGACTCGACCTGAGCTACCTCTAGGCTTGTTGGGAAGATAACCGGCATCCTGACTTGCTTGGGGGAAGAACACATAGAAATGTGCTTAACCCTCTTTGCATCTTTTATATGAACGCTCCTTGCTGTAGCACCGGCCTGCAGTAACTGCTTAAGCATAGCCTCTGAGATGGCTAAAACAAAACCTGGTGCAGAAACCTGGTGCAGAAATATTTCTCACATACCTTCCTGGAGCATTTGTGTGCAGCTCTTTGAAAGAGATGCATGTCTACAAAAGCAAAGTCTTGCATGGAGGGAGCTTAAATGTGAGAAATTTTAGTTTTCAAGAGGCATCTGTCAAAATATGATGGTATTTTCCTGTCCTTCTGCTATGTTCATGCAAATTAATGTTTGCAAATTTGCGCTAGGATGAGTCCTCGACTACAAGAAGGCGCTTGCGTGCCATCTGCTCCCTGTCCCAACCGTCTCCAGTGGACTATCGCATTCCACTTCCTTCCATGTGTGGGTGTTCTGCCTCCGTGCAGGAAATCTTGCCAATGCAGTGGGAAGACCTTCTAAATAACTGTGTGCCCGTACTTGGATGTTTGCTGCCAGTAATTATCACAAGATGTTACAGGTAACCTGGCCAGATCTTGTATGGACTGATGGCACGGGGGACAGGACGTTGTAAAATGAGGCATCTATCTGCAGCACTCATTCCCTGTTCACCCTTCAGTTTCACTTCTGTGTCTAAAGAGCACTTCCAGAGAGCTTTTTCTGAAAGCAGGGGAAATGTGGCGTTAAAATGCAAACCTGGAAAAAAAACTTTTACTTGCATGTTTGCACTATACCACAGTGCCACCTAGAGGTTATATAGCAGAATTGCAAGAAAGAAAATGATCCGCTGCTTGTTTCTTGCTCTTTATTCTATGTCAAAACAGAAAAGTTCTGGGATGGAGTATATATGGATACTTTACTGGTTCCATATAGAATTGCATTATACTAAATTAGATCATCTGGATAGCAGTTCTTGGTCCCTTTCTTTCTAAAGCGACAGTGTGAGATGTTTTACCTGGAGTTTCCAGGGACCAGTAAATGGCTTTTGCAATGGCTTCTAGACCAGATCTGGATACCAGAGGCATGAATCCTCTTGAAAAGTGTGTTGTCTTGAAAAATGTTTAAAAGTGCTCAGCTGCAACAAATGCTCTTAACTTATGTCACTTTCCCATGATTTCAGTTTGGATACATCTAAGAGTATGGACATATTGAGTTTGACCATTGGGCCATTTACTTCATGATTGATTGATTGATTGATTATATGTATATTTATATCCTACCATGTTTTCCTTCTAAGGAACTTAGGGTGGCTCACATAGTTCTCTTCCTCATCTCAACCTTATCCTCACAACAACAACCCTGTGAGGTAGGCTGGGCTGAGAGTCCTTGGCCGGCCCACTTGACTCCATGTCTGAACAGGGGCAAGAGCTCAGATCACACAAGTCCCAGTTCCGCTCTCATAACCACGGCACCACACTGGCTCTCAGCAGCAGAGTTGCAAAGTTTCAGACAAGAATATTTCTTTCCCAGCCCCGCCTGGAGCTGCTGGAATGGAACCGGGGCCTTTTGCACCCAAGGCCTGTCCCTTACGAGGGAGTACAGCTATTTTCACCTCCCCTGCCTGGATCCCTTGAAATGGCACCTCGCCTGAAGGGCTGCTTGCAAAGGTATCGCCTGAAGAGGTGCAGAATGGGCGTATTGCGTGCGCTTAATGATTCACGCTGCAGTTGCTATGGAAAGCAAACCAAGACTAAAAATAAGCATCTCTCATGCTGCTCTTTTTGACTTCTGCAAAATGTAGCACTTCCTGCTTTGAAGGAATCTCAATAACAGGTTGGATCCAGCCTTACTCATGTGTAGATCTGACCCATTGAAACCGCTCAGACAAGTCAGTCATGACCAACACAAGCCCAAATGATCTCAGCAGGCCCACTCCAAGCACAGCTTAGTCTGGGTCCAGCCCAGTGTTTTGCCATCTTTGGGTCTTGCTTCTGTGTTCAGTGAAACATTTTTGCCTCTGCTGAGTCTGCAGTTACACTCAAAGAGCACTTGGCTTTGTGCACGATGACTCTTCTGGCGTATGATGCCACGCTGCTTTCTCCCTCTTTCACGAAGGCCCAGTGCCCACAGGTCTGATTTAGTGCCACAGCACAGGACTGGCAGCATGGAAATTCCCCTCGCTTGGCAGGCAGGCATTCCCAGGCTCCGCTTTTCGGACTTCCTGCTAGCAACCTCCCCTGCCCCAGCTGCTCATGTGCCCCTGCTGAAAGATCATGGCTGCATTGCCCTGGGTTTCCCCTGCAGGCAAATGGATCCCTTATCTCCAATCTTTGATAAAGGATGATCAGAACATCAGACAAGCCATTCTAGATCAGATGCAGGGTCCATCTAGTCCAGCATGCCATACAGGCGATGGCAAACCAGCTGCCCGCAGGATCCCCCCAGCAGGATGGGTGCAAGGCCTCTGTCTGCCCGAGCTCTTTGGTTTGTGAGCAGGCCAGCTCTGGTGAAGGAAGTGGCACATGGCCAGCAAGGCTAGTAGCCACGGAGAGCCTCCTCCATCAACCTGTTCGATCCATTTTTAAAGCCATCCAGATTGGCAACCATGACCACTTCCCATGACAGTGAATTCCACAGTTTAACTGCATGCTGTGTGAAGAAGCCCTTCCTTTTATCTGTCCAAAACCTAATCAGCTTCATGAGATGACCCTGGGTTCAAGTGTTATGGGAGAGGGAGAAAATGTCTCCCTCTTCACTTTCTCCACCCCATGCATTATTACAAACACCTCTATCATGTCTCCCGGCTTATTGCAAAGCTGAACAGTCCCCGTTGTAGCTGCTCCTCCAGGGGTGCTGCTCTAGTCCCCTGGTCATTTTTGTTCTACTTCCCTGTACTTGCTTTTCCAACTCAATAACGTCCTTTTTCTAGAAGGACAACCAGAACTGAACGCAATATTCTGAGTGTGGTTACACCAAAGATCTGTATAAGGGAGTAAGATCTTGGCAGTTCTATTTTCTATTCCATTCCTTATCATGCCAGTCAAGGACTTTGCCTTCATGGAAACTGAACACTGGGCCTGCATTGTCTTTGAACTGTCCACCACCACCCCAAATCCCTCTCTTGCTCAGCCACTGCTGGAGAGAGCAGAGATTTCTGCTGCAAACCACCAGAGATCTTCGGCTATGGATCAGCATAGAAATAAGGGAGGGGGGATCCCACTTCAAGACATGGCAAGAGAAACCCCAGGCCTGTGGGCATGTTACTTGTAAGTACAAATGTCGACCCAAAAAGTTGTCCATCCCTGGTGTAGACCATAAGGTGCCGACAGTTCTATAAGCCTGAGCCAGAAAACTTCAATCATCCACACTGTCCTGTCTGTGTAACTGCTGGGTGTGTACTTGTCAGTAGTCAAGATGCTGGATCTTCATGTGTTGAATAGACTAGACTAGACTAGACTAGACTAGACTAGACTAGACTAGACTAGACTAGAATAGAAGTGGGGTTGCAAACCTGACTTTTCCACAATCAAACTTCACGCTGTACCCTACTTGTAAGTGGTTAAATATAAACTAAAACACTCTTTTTACAAAGCAGTTGGAATGTGCACGAATTCAGCGTGGGCTCTTTTTCTTCCCTTCCCACCCACCCGCACCCCGCTCCTGCAGATGCCCACCAAGGAATCGGTGAAGAGGGCTGTCATGTTTTAGAACCAAAGGAATGCTAATTGGGCTGAAAGGCAAGAGAAAAAGCAGACCTGAAAGGTCACGGGAAGCCTTCTGCAGCAGCCCACAAAGACCTCCTGAGACGTATTCTTGTGCAGTGGCTTTCAGGCCAAATTCTTGATTGGGAAATCATACATATCTTGCAAGTGGATGCCGTCCCCTGGGGCTGGCATTAATGGAACAACACTGGTTTCTCTGTGTTGATCTGAAATCTATTTAAAACAATTAAAGTGCCAAGGTTCTGATGAAAGTCTAATGCTATCACATCAAGGGACAATTACAACCGATGCGTTCAGACTTGAGGCTCTGAACTCCAAAAAGACGCTGCTGCTAAAGATGTAATGTTGGTGGCTTGTGTTTTACTACAAAAGAATGAAACCCGTATCTTAAGGCAAGCTCTTTATCAGAAAACAATTTTGTAAGAAATTTGCATCTGCCCTTTCAAAGGACAGAATGTTTACTGTGATGACACTACAGTGTAAATTGGCTTAGCAGAGCTTTTCTGCCTCCTTGTAGCCCTGGATACTTTGATTTTACCGATCTCTGTCAGCACTTTCCTCAGACTACAGTTCCCAGGATTCACTGGGGCAAGCCATACCAGCTAAGCTGGACTAAACATCTGTGGTGCAGATCTGCCTTAAAATGTGTTCTTTTCATCTGCAACGGAACAGAGCTTAATTCTCAGAAAACAGAACACAACTCCCAAAGATGGAGGATACAGCTAAAGGAATTCAGATGGAGAGTGTGCAACCCTCCGAAGCTTCAGATGCCAGCAAAGCTGTCGTGGAAAATGAGAGTCCAGCCAAAAAGACCTCCATGTTTTGCTTTAAGAAGAGAAAGAAGTGCCATGAAAAAGGGACGGAAAAAGGTGCGGACAGTGAGTCTGCTTCATTTACCTTAAAGCCTTTGAACCTTCCTTCCAGCACTGGAAGTGGCCAAGCGGAGGGTTCCGACCCGTTATGGCCACCAGGAGGGGCCTGGGTGGCCTTCAAGCGCTTTGTAACACTGAGAAGACGCTCCAGATCTGCTCTGAAGAAGCAAGCTCAGTCCGGGTCCCGTGTACAGCTGGAGATGAATGTTGAAGACTCTGGGGTGCCGCGTCTTTCTAGGGCGGGCAGCAGCTCCAGCATTAAAATCCCCTGCTTAAGCTTCTCCAGAAACAAGAAGAAATCCAAAGCCCCTGAAATAACAGAGGTGCTCGATTGCCGTGAGGAAGCGCACGAAACCACAAGCCTCTTGAGTAACCAAAGCAGCAGCAAACTGGGGGTGCTGGCTGTGGAAGGGCCTCTGAGTGCTGAGGAATCCCCCTGCGGAGCCCTCGAGGAGAGAGAGAGCGGCCGTGGAGGGGCAAAAACCACTGCAGGCGCCGTTGCCTCTACCAGAGAGGAAGCGTTTGTGGAGAGGAGGCCTGACCCCAATTGCTATGCAGACTGTGTGGCTCAGTCCGAAATAATCCACTCGGAAAACGTCCTTGAAACAGAACAGGAGAAGCAAATCTTTCAGTTGCACCATGGAAGCCTCTATGGAAATGCCGAAGAAGCGGGGAGCAAGAGATTCGAGTTCCACATCGAGGCAGGGCCTCTCTTTCCTCGGGACTTGCCGGAGAGCAAACACGGGATCTTCGAAGCAGAAGACGCCGAGAACACGCATGCCGGAGAGGCTGTGTTGGAGCAGCTTGTGAGGGGAGCTGATGCTGTGGCGGACGACGGCGATGCCAGGGAGGCCAACTCCGTGGAGGTGATGCTGCACCGCAGCCCACCCGCAGTGGAAACTGAGGCATCCGATGTGCCCGTTGCTTCCGATGAGGAGATCCGGTGCACAGAAGGTCAGCCGGCAATGCCTGGAGCAGGCATCGTAATCATGATCACAGAAGCGGAAGAAGACCAGGAGGAAGAAGAGCCCAGCCAGGTGTGCGAAGCCTTTTCCTTTCCTCAAGCCAGCAAGCAGAAGGGGAAGAAGAAGTCAAGCAAAAGTCGCAATTCTGGTGCAGGAGGTTACAGTCAGGCGAGGGAAGGCACGGTGCACCCCAAGGCCCCGGCGTCCTTCTGCGCTGGCGGCCAGGAGCACTGGACTCCAGAGCAATATGAGGGGCTCCTGATTGAAACGGCCTCGTCCCTCGTGAAGGCGGCCATTCAGTCGTCCGTCGAGCAGCTCCTTAACGAGATGGCTTTGGAGCACAATAGACAGAACAGTTTTCTATGATCACAGGCGCTCCGTGGCCACCAAGGTGAGGCCACTGATGGGCAGAGCGAGACAAGCGGTGCCATCTGGAGGACTGATCAAAGGGTGCAAACGATTTGCTCTTTTATCTTACTCGAAAGGTACTGGGAGAAGACAGCGCTTGGCTTTCCTGCCTCCGTTACCAACATTATTTCTTCCTGCCCTGCCAGTTAATTCATTATCACTGCAGGAAGTGTTATAAAGGTTCCTGATGTATTTAAACTCAGCATGAGAGACTAGGCATGGTCCATATCCTGGGGAATTTTGCGATGTCTGTGAATAGCTTAATTTTGCATGTTGGTGAAATGGATTTGCATTGTATGTAAGCAACAGGACGTTGCGCGGAAGACCCCCTGCTGTGAGGCAGGGGGTGTCTGTCCACTGCATGGTGACATGTGTCCATGGCTTGTTCAATGTGGTCAATCTAGGAAAGCTTCAGAAAGACCTCCCCATTCCCTCCCTCTCTTTCCTGCTCCATTTATTTCACTAGCTAGACCCAAGTTCTTCAAAACTCATTTTCCTCAATGCCTGAAGGATCACTGTGTTAATTAAAGTACAACGAACGTCCATGCTGGGGGAACTTTACCCGCAACATTGCTGGGAGACACCCAGGGGTGGGGAAGGGGGGGGGCTTCCCAAATTAGCTCAAATGATAATATGGTGAAAAAAAAAACTTTTTAAAAAAAAAAAAAAAAAGGAACTAACCAATTTCTATTGCAGGTTTTGCAGAATGTAACTGCAAGGGTGGGGACGTCAGGCCAGGTTACAGTCGACCCCGTTCCCTCTTTCTTCCAACCACCGGTTCTTGGCTTTTGTGCAGCTTTCCTGCCCATTCCGGAAGGCTGAAATGCTTCCAAGGATACGTTACTAGAAGGAAGAGTTTTAATCGACAATATGCTGGTGTTTTTTGTCATTGTGGTCCCTTTTCTCCTGGGCCACACTGGGTAGACCCTTGTCTGCCCCTCCAGGAGCTTCTCTGAAGTGGAATTCTGCTTGCAGGGTAAAAGAAACCCCCAGCCCTGGCCTGCAGGGACAGAAGAGGGCAGAGCCGGGGGAGCTGTAGGGAGACACGTTCTCTGCAGGGAATGAGTTCACACATCTGGTGTGTTCCTCCCTTAATGGAAGGTGAGAGAGAGAGAAGAGAGGTTGAGTTGGGGTGGCAGAGAGGAAAGAGGAAGGCAGAAGGAGCTCCGTCCACTCTTGGTTCTGACCTTGTATACCAGGGTCATGCAGCCCCTGTGAGGTTGCTCCAGAGCAACGCTCTGGGCAGCACAACGAATACAGAACAGGGTGGCCCAGCTAATTGCAAGGACTGGCTGGCGAAAGCATGTTACGGCCCTCCTCCATCAGCTGCACTGGGTCCCTGTTCCAGTCCGGGCCCAGTTCAAAGTGTTGTCTTTGAGATATAAAGCCCTAAATGGCTTGGGACCAGGAGACCTGAGCAAGCGCCTCTCTCCATATATTCCTACCCGTCCTCTTAGATCCTCTTTGGAAGTCCTCCTCCAAATACCCTCCCTTAGTGAGATCAAAGAGGGATGGGCTTGAGGAGGGCATTCCAGCAGTAGGGCCTCTGGAATTCACTCCCCAGGGATACACAGCCGGTACCAGCTCTTCTTTCTTTTAGGTGCCAGGTGAAAACCTTTTTATTTAAACAAGCTTTTGGTTAATTTAATTTAAACGTTTACATTTGTAATGGATTACTTATTTAATTTAATGTTTGGTTAATTTATTGGCTGGATTTATTACGTTGCTTGTGGTTATATTTTATCATGAGATACTTATTTATTATTTTATTGTTTCATCTGTTTATCAATTGTTTTTTATTATATTCTATGTATTCTGTGCTGTTTTTAGCATTTGTAAGCTGCCCAGAGAACCTTTGGGTTATGGGCCGGCATGGAAATGGAATGAAATAAATAAATAAATTGGCCAAGCCCCATGGGAAGAGGTAAATTCATCAAAACAGTAATGATAAAGTTTTGCTGCTTATTAAAGACAGTGCCTCGTAAAGTAATTTTTTAAAAAGCAAAAAAAAAAAAATCCTCCCTCTTTACAAGCAGAACTACCCAGTGATAGAAACTTGGCAACAGTGGCAGAAATAGGTAAGCAGCAGTTCAACCCTAAAAGGATTGTAGAGAAGGCCGGCCTCTTTTACCCGACATGAGAACTTCTGGAAGAGAACGCTCCGTAGGGTTGCTGCCGCTGCCACTGAAAAGCCTGCCCCCGCCTAATTTTCCCTTTGAAGAATCTTATTTGCTAGCTGCCCTGGAAGAAGACATTCCAAAGGACAGGATGGAGATGATTAATAACAGCAACAGTAAAATAAACCAAATAGAAGCAAGTGCTCCCACCAAGAGAGACGTTGCACGTTGAAAGCTGCCCTCTCATGCTGCCAATGCAAACACAGCGAGTGTCAGCGGAGGCTCCAGGGTCAGGGGAGCAATGAATCTGCTCCAGGTTTTAGTGTGAACCTCATGCAGCTGTCTGTGGTGCTGAGCCCTCTCTCCCTCCCATCCCTTTAGAATTCAGACTGAAAGCCAGAGTGGTTACCTCACCCCACTGATGCTGAAGCTGCCAGTGGCTGCAGCTGGGGGCCTTACAGCCCTCCTCTGTAGGTATTCCTCCACTTGGCCATTCTTCAGCTGCCTTTTGCCCCGGTTCCAGTGGTGGGAAGAGCAGTCGGTGCCGCTGTGTTTGCTCCTTAGCTCGTTAATGCTCTGCTCCAAAATCCACTGGCCAGGAAAGCCCAGATCCACTTCAAATGCCAAATGCTGCCTCTTAGCTCGCAGGCTATGGCTGGCAGAGACATGCATTCTGGACACACCAACCAGCAAAATGTTTCGGAATGTGTCGCTGGTATGTATAGGTTAAAGGTTCCGTGGAGCGTGCCAGTTGGTGAGGGACTGGACTTGTACATTTCTTGTGGAAGGTAAGAGGGTGTGACTGCAGCAGGGACACCAATCCCTAGCACAAGAAGCATCAATGGCTATTAAAATAACATGGAGCCACATGATATTTCTCTTTCAGTCTGAAATAATGAGATGTGGTTTCAGGGCAGCCGGTGAAAATCAACCATGGATTCACTCTGAGGCTTAGTGAGGGCAGCTGGCCAGAATAGCATGTTTGTAGTACTCCATGCTGCCTGACTCGGTTCAGTCCTTGACTATCACTGGTAATGGGGAGCGTTTTAGCTACAGTGCTCTTGACTCACCAAAAGGTTCCCCCCGGCAAATTTGGATTCACATCTTTCAGGACAGTTCTATAGGATTCTGAATTTTTATTCCAACCAATTTATGCTGTTACAGCCAGCATATCACAATTCTAAAACCGCAACAAAAAGTTACTTTGTGATTTCATTGTGAGGTTTGTTGATTCACATACAATACTATTTTTCTGGTGCAAACCATATCAAGTACTAGGCATTGTCTTTGCTCATTTATTTATTCAGGTCAATGAATGCATATTCGACATACTGCATTAAACCCATGGCATCAGTTTGTATTATAGAATGAAAGAGTCACTGAATAGTAGAGTTGGAAGGGGCCAGAGGGCCATCAGGTCCAACCCCCTGCTCAATTTATTTATTTATTTAAAACATTTCTATGCCGGCCCCATCGCAACAAAGCCTCGGGGCGGCTCACAAAAAATACAAAAAAAAAAAAATTAAAACCCCCTGGTGCATTCTCTAATTTAAAATCCTAATAAATACAATAATTTAGCAATTAAAATAAGTTTTAAATAAAAAGGTCTTAGCCTGGCACCAAAAAACAAATAACGATGATGCCAGGCGGACCTCTCTGGGGAGCGCATTCCATAGATGGGGTGCCACCGCAGAGAAGGCCCTGCTCCGGGAACTCACCCTCCTAATATTTGCAGGGGGTTCCCAGAGAAGGGCATCCGTTGCTGATCTCAAGGGGTGGGAGGGCATATATGGGCGCAAGCGTTCCTTTAGATATCCAGGTCCCAAGCTGTTTAGGGCTTTATAGGTCATAACCAACATCAATATAGGACTCCAAGTTAAAGCTTCCCTCCCAGATGTCCATTTGCATCTTGAATGCTTCTAGAGAGGGAGAACCCATACCCTTTCTAGGGAATTGCTGCCATTGTCGTACTGTTCTAACAGGAATTTTTTCTTGATATATAGCAGGAATATAATGAACTTCCTATAACTTGAGTTCATTATTCTGTGTCCTCTACTCTGGGATGATCAAAAGGAGATTGTTCATTTATTCATTCAGTTTTAAACCATCCAGTAGCCAAAGGGGTCTCTGAGTAGATCACAAGGTTAAAAACATTTCACAAGAAACAAAAATTGTATATAATAAGTAAATAAAAACCCCAATAAAATGGCAACCACAGCCAAGTTGGTCCAGAGGGTCAGCAGCAATGCAAGATAAAATACAATGTAAAAGTTGAGAATAAAAGTTAACTATTAAAATCCCAGACCAATAAAAAGGTTTTTACCTGGCACCAAAAAGAATTAAGAGTACATGTATGTACTTGCTATGTATATGTCACATGAAACACACCTTTTAGCCTTGAGAGCTTCACAGCTGTCATTGGGGTTTGAGCCGCAGCGTGGGGAGGTGTATTTTGGGGGGCACCCGATTTATCCAAACCTTCAGCCCCGTCTCAGTCCTGCCCCATTTAACATAATGTGCCGTTCGGTCCAGATGATTTCAAGCACGAGATCATCTGTAGGCACAGCAGAGTGGCCAGTGGCAAAGCTAATCTCCGCAAATCCATTTGGCCAGTGGGTGCAAATGCGGCCAGGCCACGGATGCGGCCAAACAGCAATGCGGTGCACCCCACGCCTGCCTGCCCTGTGCAGCCAGGATTAGTTTGGGCTGGGGGATGGAGGTGATGGTTCCACACCGCTGGCAGGAGGCCATTCCTGGGCCATTCTGGGGGGCTGACTCACCTCTTGCTCCAGCGAGTTCTCCGCTGTGGGTTGGAATGTTGCCTCTGTTTGCACAGTCGGG